CCCCCCTCCTTTCTTTTCCTCCGCCAGAATCCCCGCCCTTCCTGTTGTCGAATAAAAGTCCGTCTCCCACCTCCCCCAGCTGATGAGGCCAGGTGGCTGTACTCTCTTCTCAGCTCTACCTGAGGTTTGGTATTACGCACGGTACGAACCGTGCCGTGGCAGGGCGGCGTGCGGGTGGGCGGGTGGCCACCGCGCCAACGGTCGGTTCCATGCATTCGAACTTGTATTCCGGTGAACCCCGGATGAGCTTCCGCCGGTGCACTCTACTCCCTTTACCTCGCCTAGGGATTGTTGTGGGCGGGCATTCTTTGTCAGCGTGCTTGTGGCTCCGGGTGTGTCTGGCCGGGGTCGGGCCGCGGAAGGATGACGTCACCGCGGCCGGCCTTTTAAAGTTCGCTCCATCCTGTCGCACCGCAGCGCACTAGCGAGCGGCATGCATCCTGACATTGCTCTGCCGACACCTCGCGCGTGCCGAGTATGAGGGCGACGCGGCGGCGGCGGCGATGACATCGACCTGACGGCGCGGACAAAGACACGCGCGCGACATTTACTCGTGATAGAGCAGGAGAGACAACACGGAGGCTGCTCCAGGACAATGCCATGCATGAGCGGGGGGGGGGGGGGGGCCTGTGTCTGTGGAGTGCCCTAGAGTGCTCCGTCCCATGCTGCTGCCCTGCTGCCCATCATACCAGACAGTCCCATACTATACCACAACGGTAGCACCCCCGGATCCGCAGACCACACACACATTGGCGGCCTGAGACCAATCGAGTCCTATGGTCATGCGCCGGGGGAGTCAAAATGAAGCAAACAAACAGCAAGCAGCGCTAACGTTTTGGTGTGAAGCGTTGCGCTGTCCACCGCGCAGCTCTCGGCGGGAGTGTGTGTCTGTCCGGGATGAAAGTGCAGCCGCGAGCTACGAGGCTATCGGGCCGCGGTGCGGTGAGGCGGTGGGAACAGAAATCAGCGGTGACCCGTTCCCACCACACCGCAGAGACAATAAAATAAGCGGGAAAAGTGTGTGTCATCGATTTCTGCGAACGGTGGCGCGTTGTAAAACTCTCCCCTGCCGATCCCGGCCGCGCGGCCCGCGCCCCCGGCGCCTTCGTGTTCGCGTGCGTGGCGGGGGGCACGACCGCGGCCCGGCCGCCCGTGGGAAGCTTCTGGACGGCCGGCTCCGCCAGGCTCCGTGCGCGCCGTGGCCCGCCCGACCAGGCCACCACGGCCCACATGGGGCGGGCCGGGGCCGCACCGCAGGCCAGTCCGGGCTGCACCAGACTCGCACGACGAGTTGCTCGGGCGGCAGGGCGACCACGTCCAGCGCGGCGGGTACTGCCACCGAATCCAGAGGGCCACGAGGGACGAGGTGTGGGCGCAACACGCCGCGGTGTCACCGTGAGCCAATTGTTACATCCTTCTCTCCCCAACGGCCATGAGGCGCGCCATGCGTGCGGCGGCAGCGGCGGTGATGGCACCCGCGCGCTGCCCTGCCCCCCGTGCCCGCTCCCGCTCCCCTCGGCCCGCGCTCGCCCGCACCCCACCGCTAACCTCGCACAACCCGCCCGCAGCCGGCGAGGACTGTGTTTGGCGCGGGGCTGACAGGTCTGTCTGGTCTGGACGACGAACAACTCGGCGAGCAGCAGGGACCAGGTGAGGTCGAACACTGCCAGCAGCAGCTTGGGAACGGCGGGCAAGCAGCGCCTCCGGTTCACGGCGACGCCGGGTACCGCGGCTGAGCCAGCCCGCCGTCAAACTTAAACGTCGCGAACACGGCCGTACAGCAGCCTTGGTCGATGTGACCCGGTCGGCAAAGTGTGGCTGACTCAAGACTGGACGGCGGAATGACGTTATCGCAGCGCCTCTACTTACCGATGTCAATGAGGGCAAAGCCTCTGGGTTATCGCGCGTGGCCGCCTTTCGTCCAGGCCGCGGCAAGACGGACCGGCGAGCCGAGCGTGAAGGATACTCGGACGGGAAGAACAACAAAAACACTCTCGCTGCTCGGGCGTAATCCTTTATATCCTGAGCGAGGGGCGGCGTGCGGCCGCGGGTGTCCTGTGCATGCGACTCGCTCGCGGCGCGCGTCAACTGGAACCGGGTGCAGCACGACGCGGCAAGCTGGTCTTGAGTTGAGTGTTTCTTGGGCTTTTGTCCGCGCTGCTCCGCGGCTCAGCTGCGACTGACAACTCCACGTTAGGTGAGGTGAGGCGCGGCCGGGAGGGTCATGGAGGGGATGGGCGGCCCGGCGCACAGCCGGCGTTGGATTGCGACCCGCGCCGCCCCGCGCCGCCCCGCGCCGCCCCGCGCCTGGAGAGGGAGCCGCGAGCCCGAGGCCGCCGCCGAGCCGGGCGCGCTCCCGCCGACGGCCCCTGCTTGCCTTGCCTTCCCCGGCGCGAGGAGTATCTCCGCGGCTCGCCCCTGCTGCTCCACGCGGACGAGCGCTGAACCAGGGCACGAGGCCACCGCGGCGCGGGGCGAAGGAGCTCGTTTGAACGTGGGCGCCGGAGCGGCCGTTGCGATCCGCGGCGGACCGCGCGAGCTCCCACGGCTGACGGCTTGAGGAGCGAGCGCTCTACTGGCGGGCCGCGAGCTTGTCCTCGGCGCGCAGCAGGTACGTCTCCATCCAGTAGGACACGCTGCAGGCGAACTTCCTGGCGGTCGGAACCAGCTGGTCGTGCACCCGCGCCTGGGTGCGGTCCAGCATCTTCATGAGTCTCCGCTCCAGCTCTTTCTCGAGCAGGCTGCGTCGGCGGTTTTCCGGGCGTTCCTGCAGGGACAGTACGAGGGTGATGTACCGATGGGCTACGGGGGCGTTTGCAGTCGAGCGGGGCGGGGCCCGGAAGCGACACACACCGTGAAGTTGTCGAGGAGGGCGTTGAGGTGGTCGAGCACGGTGCAGATGGCGATCGACTGCACGTCGCTGGGCTCCAAGTTCTGCGACGAGTGCGCCTCCAGCAGCGGCTTGCTCTCCCCCCCGCCCGCCGCCCCCGCTGGTGCTCGGGGCCCCGGCGCCTCCACCTCCAACGCCGTGCCTGCCGTTGCGAGGTCCAGTCCGTGCTCCGCGTCTCTCCCAGCTTCGAAGGACGCGTCAACCGGGCACGGGAGCGGGCAAGGCTGTGGCGGGAGAGGAGCACAGCCCAGGGCGCCGATACGCCCACACCCCACCGCGTAAACCTGTACAGCCGTAACGTTTACGCTGTCCGCCAGGCCGGAAGCGGGGTTGATTCCAGCTGGGCGGGGCTCACCTCCGAATTGACGGACTCGCACGTTATGGTGGGCGGGTCCTCGACCACGTTGTCCTCGCGCTCCACTACGGCCCCTGACCCGGATTCGTCCACGTCCTCGTCCACAAGCGCGGTGGCCATCCCCTCTGTCGCCATGGCGACCAGGGCGGCGCTGCCTACGGATGGCAGTCGGTCCAGCAGGGCCTCCAGGACCTCGTCCTGCGAGTCGACCTGCTCGGTGATGACCAGGCCGGTGGAGGTGCAGGGCGACTCGGAGACCAGCACCACCCGGTCCAGTTCCAGCGGCCCCTTGGGCACGATGGCAATGGACTCGTCTGCGCCTACCAAGTACAAAAATACTGACAGAGTGACTATGGTGCGCGACGTCAGCTCTCGGCTGTGGATGGCCTCGTACCTGGCACAGCTAGCACCCCGATGTGGCGTGAGGGACGACTGCTCACGCGTGCGATGGTCCCTACGGAGCCCGCTGTTGAATCCTCGACAGTATTGGATTCGTCACCGAGAATCCCACTCGCCAGATCTACGAGCAGTTTATCGATTTAATTGTACATTGGAGCATTTCTTTTTACGAGGGGAGGAGTAGAGGCCGAAGTGAGGTCCTTTTTGTGTTGTGTTTATGGTCATACTGTTGCTGCGGACCTCCTCCTGGCTAACCAGATCGTATTAGTGAAAAGAACTGGAAGTCCCGTATGACTGATCCTCAGTGCAGAATGCGGAAACAAGGACAGAAAGTTGCGTCCAATGGGTGGCTGGCTTATGTCGCCTACATCACTGGGTTAGACCATTTAAGACACTCAGCCGCTGGACATAGGACACCTCAGACTCAGCTAGAAAGGATAGCTTTCCTAGGACTCAGACTTGCGCCTACCGCTGGGCGCGCTGCTGGGCCCCGCCGTGTAGACCGGCGGCTGGACGAGGCAGAGCGGCAGGTCGGAGATGCGGCCCACGGACTGTCCCGAGGACGCCGCGGTAGAGCGCGGCAGGCAGGGCGGCCGGGCAGACTCCTGGGGCCAGTCGGGGCGGCGCTCCCCAGCGAAGTCCACAGCGGGGGGAGCCAGGCCCGCCAGGCAGGGCGGCGCGGGGGGCGCCGAGGGAGAGGGGCCGGAGTCCACGCTGTTGACATCGATAGGCAGTAAGAGGCAGTATCCTTCCTATGCCGTTTTTGTATGACGACTGGAGCTTTTCCCATGCCACTCACATAATAAGTACTCTTTACCTGTTCCATCCGGAGTGTCCGCTCGAGTGCCTTGACACAACAAGGCTCGGGGGCGACGCGCGGAGCCCGAGAGCCTCGGCGGGAGGGTTTGGCGACAAGCTCTGATGCCGCACGGGGCCCGCGCGGGGTGCGGCAGCGAGGGCAGCGGTCGAGTCCTGGGCGACGAGCGAAAGGGGCGCAGAGGGCCGCACAGAGGGGCACTCGGGTCGATTTTCGTGGAGGCGCTTGACGGAAAGGGATGGTGTCGCCAGTGTAAGGATGGCGTTGTCCAAATTGACGATGGACTTGGATGACCAAGGCGACACGCTCTGCAATCCGGGACAACGCTCGGTCGCCAACAAGAGCGTCTCCAGCGCCTTGGGTGGCACCGGCACCTGGATGGGGAATTAGCAGTACACTTTACAGTTTGTGCGGAGATATGCTGTTGGCGCTCACAGGCCTGCAAATACGTTGCCTACTCGCAGCACTAGTACGCCGCCTGCAAACGGCGAGGTAGGCAACCCACATACACGCCTGTGTGGCAGTACAGTATAGCCAAACGAAAAACCGGCCCCCGTAGACCCAGCCAGCACCGTTCGGGGCAGTTAGCCCTCTCAAACGTCAGCCACTTTGAGGGACGCTCCCATCGTACTTACCTCAACGCCCTTGCAGCACTCCTTCCGCTCCTGCTCGTGCGCGCCCAGCAGCGCCACCGCCTGGCTCACGGCTCGACTCATGGCCTGGCTGACGGCCTGGCTCACGGCCTGGCTGAGCCGGTCCTTCTCGGGCGGCGAGTGCTCCTCCTGGATCTGCTCGGCGCGCGCCTCGGCTTGCGTGGCGGCGGCCTGCTGCTCCCCCATGAGCGCGGCCACGGCGTGCAGCGCGTCGTGCAGGTGCGCGCGCGCGTCCTCCGGCACGGACCACAACCAGGCCGCGAGCCCGACCAGCGGCGCACGCGGGGCAGCCACCTCCGGCGAGCGGGCGTGCTCACAGGTGGTGCTCATGGTGCAGGCCTTGAGGGCGGCGGGACATGGGGGTGCGGTAGGGGCGGCGGAGGCGACAGGGGCGTCGGGGGTGGCGAGGCGCCGCCGCGGGGCGGGCTGTGGGGGCGCCGCTGGGGGCAGCATGCTGCGCGGTCGCAGCCGGGAGGGCCTCGAGGCCGAGCCCTGGCTGCACGTCTGGCTGTGGATGCGACACGAGCTGGGCCCGCGGCTGAGCGAGGCCACGTCCTCCTGCTGCTGCTGCGTCGAGGACGAGCGCGCAGACGAGCGGCCTCCAGTGCGGCCAGACTCGAGGCCGCGAGAGGACTACAAAAGGACAGGTCGCCACTGCAAGTCAGCTGGGGACGGGGATGCGGGTGCGCGCTCGAGCACCGCGCTAAACCTCTTCCGCGTCACGAATGGGCGAGTTGCCCGCATGCCCATTATTCGATGGATTCCGCAAACCTCTCAAAACTGATTGAATTGATGCCGGGTCGTGTCGCTGTCCTTACGTTCTTAGGCGAGGTCTGGACGGTCTGGACCCCTGCACTGCTGGTGGTAGCTGTGCCGGCCGGAGCAGGGTGGTGCGGGCTCAGAGCCCAGGGTGCCAGCGCCACGGTGGACAGCCTCGCCCTCTTGCCCTCGAGGAGCGTCTTCGCGTCCGCGCTCAACAGGCCCATGCCCACCTGCAGCGCGCCCACCCCCGTGAACGGGCTGTCCCGGGCCCTGGACATCACCGCCTGCCCCAGTCAGACGGCAGTGAACGGAGAAAAGCGGAAGGGTGCGCGGGGATAGGGCACGGCACCTAACTTCAGCCCGGCCACGAACTCGCTAAGCCCCACCTGACGGAAGACACGGAACCGACCGCCGGGCGCCTTGTCCTGTTGCGCGTCGACGAGTCACCCAGCTCGTCTGTGCGGGACTTCCTGAACAGACGGTATACTTCACTTCACTTTGATACCGAGGCAGCGCTATGACATCGGGCCAACATGGCGGCGGTGGAAGTCCCACCGGTGGTGCAGGCGCTCCACGCGCGGGGCCTCGGGGTTGTCGCGCCCGCCCTGCTGCTCGTCGTCGTTGAGCCGCCAGCGCGTCGTGTCTGCGCAGGCAGGGGTTGCAGTCAGCAGCACTCACGGCCCACATCACCGCCAACCTCACCAACGGCCTGGAAGCGCACCGTGACCACTGCCGGCGAGACTCCCGGCGAGGCTGCCGCAGGCCCGCCACAGGGAGGACGCCTCCTGACTCAGGCGAAGCGACGGCCCGTGCGACCCACTGCGGTGCCCGTCCTCCGTGTCCTTGCTCATGGCCTTGAGCATGATGTCAGTGATATGCGTGCTGTAATGGGGGCCGCTGGGTCCCAGGAGGACTTCCTCCTTGAAGGTGCGCTGATCCCCGGGACCGAGAGAGGCACCGCCACTGCCGCTGCCCCGACGACGATGTCCTGTAAATCGCGGATTCGTCATTATGCGAAATTTTACGAGAGAAGTGTATGAACGTGAACTTCGCGTGTGGACCTCTGGCTCGGACGTCAACTCCAGATATTGTCGTCGCAGAGCCACCTCGACTAGAGACGCTGAGTGTAGAGCAGCTAGCGGGCTCTTGCATGGTATGACCCACATTGGGATGCGTTGCAGACGCGTCGTCGTCTACGGAGGGTGACAGCAGACCCGGATCCGAGTCCCGAACACTGCAGTGGACCCGACTACGACCGGACTGCACACCTAAAATTGAAGCTCTTGAATTAATTCTCTGGTTTCATTTTATCAACAGGTGCGTTGACAATAACTTTTTTTTGGCCGCGTTTCTCATTTGGAAAGGTTGTCACGTTTCAAAATTCTCTTTTGTCGTCTTTGAAACCCGTCGAGTAAGGGTTCTCCATACGGTGCAAATAATGTTAACACGTTCAGTGGACAGCGACCCCTTTCACTTTGTGGTCACGCTTCGCTTCTATTCCCAACCCTCGGGATGCAAAGCCGCTCTGGATGAGTTGTGTTGTGAAGTTGTGAAAAGTCCGGGTCTACAAGAGACCCCCACCCCCAACATTGTTTTTTCTTTTTAGGGAAAGACGTAGGGCATGTGGCATATGGCCTGCATCACCTGTTCCTGTCGGGGCTGCCTGCTGCTGGCCAGTGTCCACGTGAGACGGTCGCGACGGCAACGCTCTGCTCTTATCCTGGCCCTGGCGCCGTTTGCTGGCAGAGTCCCTGGTGTCCTTCCCCATGGCGGCAGACTTGGTCCTCCCCCCTCGGGGAGGTCAGGCGGGCCCTCGCCCTCGCCCTGCCGCGCCCTCTGCGCTGGAGGACACGCGAACGGGTGATTTCAACCTTGAGTCAGTGCGGAACTACAGTGGTTTTAGGGAATAGGGGACTTTATTAAACTGCGCCCCAAACATGTTGAGTTACGGTGTTCATGATTACAGGAATATAGTTAATTCATTACTCCGGCATGCAGCGAGAGTATAACACACGAGTGGAACATTTCCGACGTAGCAGTGCAAATACGGACTTACACACGACAGTTTTCATGGCAGTTTTCTGGAACGTGGTACGGCGGCGCCACGCCAGTCCTGCGCAGGAGGCGGTCACTATGGCTACCAGGCCGACACAGAACAGCTGGGTGCAGCCGGGCGTCCTCGGCGATCGGCCCTACCAGGGAAGGACCAGTAAGAATAACGACTGCTGCACTTTCCGTGGAAATCTCAACATGTGACCCACGGCACGGAGGCCTCTTGCCTTCTGTTTGTAGTTGTACTGCACCGTACGCACGCGTGCGGCTGTGCGTGTGTGTGTGTGTGCCCGAAAACCCTTCCTGTCATGTAATACTTCAAAGGATGAAAGAAATGGTTTTAAGGGGGAAACACAAAAACACATGCAAATATGAATAAGAACAGGGTTTTATTTCAAATTGCAAATTTACAAAAATTTGCAAAATACATACAGCACTTGCCAGGCAGCTGTAATTGCAATGAGAGATAATATAAAAGAATGGATACACACAAGAACTGAACAAGATAAATGGCAGTAAGGATGTATATATAAAGAGAAAAGAAATACCTAGGACATACAACTTTAGATTAGTAAAGAGATGCTATGCATACAATAAATATCACCATGTATATAACATTTGGTAGTGGGGCTGTTCAACACCAAAACCTTCACCATGACACTCATGACAAAGTACAACATCTAGGTCTTGATACAGGTAGTATGATTACGCACTAGGTAAACCATGAGCAAATTAAAATGACATCTACAACATACATCATGGCCACATTAAATGGTTTAGGATACAGTATAATAAATGTGTGGATAAGAAATTAAAAATTGACTTGATAAAAAGCTGATGAAGAGAATATTCTGTCCTAATATCTGTTACAGAACAGAGCTAAGCAGAGCAAAAATCGGCTTAAACTATAATCCATGCTAATCTTATGTGTATTACCACAAAACTAAATATCGAAAATTACAATAATATAATCACAGACTAAAAAAGCATGAGCATGTGTAGTACATATACACAAACTCAAATGCACTATAAATTAAAATACACCTTTTGCTATTTACAATATTAATTCCTAGAACCTCACATAGGAACCATGATAAGCTTATGAGCACGACATGCACTTTCAAGTAAATAAATAAGTTTTTCATGTCTGTCAAACAAAAATGAACTGGAAAATGACAAACTGTGTTTTTAACAACAGTTTGTTTGATTTTACAAAAGACAAGAGAAAAATAGTAAACAAAATACTAAAAGTAGAAAAGGAAAATTCTATTAAGGGAAATAGTCTTCAATAGTTATGAAAATTGTGCCTTCCCTTTAAGTCCACTTGA